CCCTATCCCCCTTGGGTCCCAAAGTTGGTCACTACTCCGGGTTTTCTTCTTGGCCCCGCCGGTCAGATCCCGGTTGGTGAGGGCCCAGAGCCGGTGGGGTCCAGGCCAGGCTTTTTCCCTCCCTTTTCCAGCCGTCGGGTCGTGCTAGTCGGGGGAACAGCAGTGCCGGGGGCAAGAAAGTGGTGCCAGATGCACCAGTGAAATGGAGAGGGGGGCTACTTCGGAGAGGAGGGGCAGAGTTGAAGGAAAGGAAGGTGGGAGAATGCCCTAGGGAGGGCAGAACTAGAGCCTCCAGAGGCAATAGAAGGGCGGGTGACTTTCTTGGCAGTAGACTTAAGGTACAGATGAGAGAAGAGTGCCCAATGCTTAAGGCTCTCCCTGTCATCTTTGGGGATAGCGTCCGACGTCCCCGCTGGACCCAACTCGGATCTTTCCGAGGCCGAAATGTCATTCCCCACTTGATTCTCGACAGTCCTGGAATCTTCTCAAAGTTCCTCGGTGATCCTCTCCCACGTTTCTCTTATGCTGTTCCACACATCTCCCTTCCTCGCTCAGAAGTCGAAGGGGGGAACCCCTACTTGAAATTCCCGCCTACCCCCCAACTCCGGGCCCTCACCGCGCCAAACCACCGAGACAGCTGCGGCCAAGAAACGCTGACTGGGGGCCCCGCCCCCTCCCACAACACCCGGGCTGGGCCCCAGGGGCCTGCCGCCACCCCCACTCCGCCCCCAGGCCCAGACTGGAACTGGGAACTGAGGGCAGGTGTCTGGCCTGCAGGGGCCTCCTGGGGATAGGGGAGCGTCCCAGTTACGCACGTTCTAACTTACATCTTCAGGCGACCAACTAAACCTTAATTTGGAGGGGAAAGTAGCAGGGTGGGTAAATACCCGGAGAGGGAAGTGTTTGATCAAAGAGAAGGATGAAAGCCCCGGCTGGAAGTTAACCCTCCTAGGGAGGACTGATACCTGGGGCTGGCCGGGGACAGCGAATCTGAGTGACGGCTGGCTGGGCCACGTGCTCCAAAGGGCATCCGCAGAGGATTTAGATGCTTGAAGAAAATGGACAAGAGAGGGCTTCTGGCGGGAGAAGAGGCCGGGTTCTGCCTGGGCGGGGTCCTGAGTGAGTGGGTCTGGGGGCCTGTTCTGGAATGTGGGGAGCCGAGCTGTAAGTGGAGTGTCAGCCTGCGCCAGGCGCCCACCTCTTCCCTGCTGCCCCCCTTCCCCCGGCTGCCCCCGCTTCCCTCGAAAAACCCGCCGCCCAGGAAACCGCTGGGGGCGCTCAGACCGCAGCCCCACCCCACCCCCGCCCGCCGCCCCCCGGCGCCCCCACCGCGACCGCCCAACCCACCTGAAGGGGCCGTGGCTGCAAGGGTTGCCCCCCTCCCGCCGACTCCCCCCACACCTGCGGGCGGCACTATTTATAACTCGGCGCCTATTCCGGGCCTCTCTCCGCGGGAGCGGGCTGTCGCGCAGCGCTAATCATCGCTGGGATCTCTGCGCCCCTCAGGGCCAGGGGAGATAAATTTAGCTTCAGGAAGCTCGGGGGAACATTTTCCAAAACTCCACGTCCCAGAGATGGCTAATCAGAACCCCTCTGCACTCAGTTTCCCTCTGGCCAGCCACCAGGTGGCGCAGGTCGCCGGGGTTCCTGGAACCCAGCTAAGAGTGCGGCTCGGCTCAGCCTTGAAGCTGGGGTAAGAGTTGAAGGCGAAATATGGAAGGGTTAGCTGGAGGTCAGAGCGTCCACAGAATGACCTGGAGAATGGGTATGCTCCCGAGAGTCCGGAGTACAAAGCCTCAGCTGGGAGTAACTGAGAAAGGGACTGGCGACTAATGCCTTTTGAAGGGGAAATAACTCATGAAAACGAGATGCAAATAGGGACACAAATAAGGGCCTATGGCTTTGGGGGTCTGCTCTCCGGTGCTGGTAAAACAACAGCCACATTCTCCTGTACAACGGCCTTGCTGAGAAATCGTGAAACCCTCCCAAGACATTACTGTAATATCCAGTTTATTGCACGTGGCTTCTCAGACTAGTTTTGCTATAACCCCTCTCCACCTGCTTTTTGTAGACCAATTCAGGGTCTTACAGCCTACGAAGTCAACTTGGAATCCTGGCATCAGGCGGCTCCTCCTCCTTAAGGTAGTCTTCCTTGGGGGTCGCTTCCCTCTCTGCCTTGTTTCACTCCCCATTTTACCCTATCCGTTCCCCTACCCCTTATGGCCATTAGAGGGCCCCAGGGAGCAGAGGGGTAGGTGAGATCTTACCCATCCCTTTCTATTTTGGCATCCTGCTTCTCTTTACCCTTGCCCCACTACAGCGCCCCCTGCCCTCTCCCGGCAACTCTCTAGAGAGTTCCTAAGAGGAGTTTGGACACTCAAAACCTGGGCTTACTCTAATTGGAAAGAGAACATTTCAGGGAAGCTACTGCATCTTTTTTTCCTTCTTCAGGAGTGGGGAGTTTACCATCTCCTGGCCTGTGTGGGTTAGGTAAAAATGGGGAAGCTGGAGCCCCCAAATGAGCTTGGGAAACCAAGAATGAGGGGAGCTTAGGGTTCAAGTGGAAGTGGGAGAGCATGGAGTGGGTATAGAATGGGGGTGGCAGTCCCTTCCATACTTTTGCTGGCCTGGCCCTGCCTCTGAGGCCACCTAGGCCACCATCCCCAGCACCAGTTCAGAAGAGGGCAGGCTAATGGAGAGAAGCCCTGAATTTGAGGTGAGAAAATCTGGATTTACTAAACGACTTCCCTACCAGAGTGTGCTGTGGGTATGACTTTGGATGGGTCACTTTAAGTCTCTGGGCCTGTCTCCTTCACTGTTAAAATGGGATAATTATCTTTGTTCTGTCTACTTTTGAAGTGGACTTTTGTAAGGCTCAAAGCACTTTGTAGTATGAAAAGGGCTCTCAGAATGGTATGTGAGCATTTTGTTATTCTCCCCATACCTCTCAGTCCTTCCACATTCAGGGCTGTCTTTTCAGCTCTGACACTCTACTTGGGCCCACTGGAAGTCTCTAATCTTCTCCCTCAGCTCCTCACCACAGACCATAGCCCTGGGCCCTGACTCCCTCCACCTACCACTCCGCCAGTGGTCTTTGGCAGACCTCCCCTCTCTTGGCCAAGGCCCTTGTGCTCATAACCTTCAGACTCCAGGATCCACCTCCAGGCACTGCTCAGCATGGTGGGAGTGAGGCCTAAGAAAGGAAAAGGAGGCAGAAGGCCGGGGAAGGCCTGGAGCTGGCCAGGAAGTGAACAGGTTGTAAGCCCCAGATTCAGGTGGGAAGATAAATTGTGTCTACCTCTACACTCACCTCTCTCTGGTTGGACTCAGGACCTTACCCCTCTCACTTATGTGCCCTGGGATGAGTGCAGGGATCTGAAGGGACCAGGCAAGAGCAATGACCTGCATTTTCTGAATGCCTAAAGAGGCACTGAACTGCCAGGAATAAGAAATAACCTTGACTTGGAGTACTATACTGCCAAAAAAAAAAAAAAAAAAGAATGGACAGGCTTTAAATGTACTGATGTGGAATCCTGAACGAGGCATATTAAGGGAAAAAAGCAAGGTACAGAACTGTGTGTGGAGTATACTATGAACTAAAAGTATAAACATATGCAGAACCCAGCCCCTTCTCACCACTGCTACTACTGCAAGCCTGCTCTGAGGCACCGACACCTCTGGCCAGGATTGTGCCCATTACCTCCTAACAGGTCTCTCCTATGCCACCCTTGCTCCCACTAAGTCTATTTTCAACACAGCAGCCAGTGAGAGCCTTTTAAATGAAAAATCAGTTCATGCTCAATACCCTGCAATAACTCCTCCTAAAGTCTAAAGTTCTTACCATGGTTTACTAGGTCTTCTGCGACCTGCATCTGCTCAGCTCAACTTTTTCCTTTTTCCATAGTAGCTATTGCCTAATAACATCTCTAAACTTTTTATATTTTATTTTCTGTATCCACCCACCAGAATGTAAGCTCCAAGAATACAGGGATCTCTTTTGTTCATTGCTGTATTCAAAGCACCCATATTGGTAGAGAGCAGATGCTTAATATTTGTTAAGTGAACGAATATGCAGTATATGCATAGACTATTTCTATAATGCTCTCCAAGAATCTGGTAACCATGGTTACCTCTAGGGAGGAGAACTGGGGGCTGGAGGATAGGTGTAGGAGGGAGCTTTACTTTTTACTATCAGAATCCCTTACTCTAGGCATATATTAACTTTACAAAAAGAAAAATAAAATAATCCCAGAGAAAAAGAGTTAACTAAGAAGAAGGCTGAGGAATAGCTGGTCCCTGGGAATGAGGGGAAGGCTATGTACACCATCTCCAGGCCCACACTTCAGGAGAGAGAGGGGGGCAATAATTGAGCCCCAAGCAGGGCCAGGGAATGATGGGTAGAGATCCCAAGGATGCTTTGAACTGGCCCTACAGCCGGCTCTGAGGTTATAAGGGGCCGTGAGTGGCAATGTCAGTAACCATGAGTAAGCATGCGCAAGACAGTGTAAATGGCTCATGTGTACCTACCACTGGGGGTAATTCAAGGAAAACAATTGTTGGTGACTTCCAGGGGGTAAAGAGTTGATTCTGTTCCTTCTGGTTGTGTCCTGTGATAAGCCTGACTTGTGTGGCCCTTCTTGCAGTGCTGTGAGCTGGAGGAGCAGGGCCTCACCCCTCCATGAGCTGGGGACTAGCACCAGCCCAGGGCTTTCTCCAAGATCCTCAGGGGCAGGAGCTGGCTAGGCTAGATCTCTTATTTGTGTTCCCACCCTAATGCACAGGGCCTCATAAAAGACCCCACCTAAGCTGGACCCCTCCCTACCCACAGGTTGGGAGGAACCCGGCCTTTCCACCCCCCCTGCTCAGGCACCAGTGAGTCAGGAAACCTGACTTTCAGTCTCAGTTCCACCCAGGACAACCTCCTTCCCTCCCTGGTCAGCACGCTGGCTTCAACACCCTTCCAGTGCTGACTTTTTCTGATTCCCTTTTGGACACAGAACTTTCGGCCTCAAGTCCTATTTATTATACATGTAGTTCAGGGATTCTCAGAGATATTAGGGGGCAGCCCATTCCTGGCACTACGAGGATATAAGATCAGCCACTTGGGCCAGTGGGCTCACTGTGCCAGGCTTGGAGGAGTGCCAGGTCCTGCAGCAGTCTTACTGGGGTTCTGGCCAGCAGGCCAAGGCCCCGCCCACCAGAGGCCCACCAGAAGTGGGGGCTGGGAGCGAAGGCCCACAGACGAGGCAGATCTGACAGATGGCACCAACTCCAAGCAGGATCCAAACTTCACTTGTTTGTGGCCCATTCTTAGTCAAGCGCAGCTGGCCGCAGGCGTCTGGATGGGGTTTGGGCTGAGCACTAAAAAAAAATAAGAAAGCTGAGAGGCAGGCTCTTCCACAGAAGCTGCAGCCATGCCTCCTGTCTGTTTGCCCTACTCTGCTCACCTGGGCGACACCAGCTGTGCTGCTGGTGGGGAGGCAGTTCTCTGCCGCCATCAATCCAGCAGCTCCTTGATACACCAGCAGCAGAGGAGGATGTAGGCAACTTCCTTCAGGGTGCGCTGCAGGCTCTCCCACCTGGGGCCCATCTTTACAACAGGCACTCGGAGCCCAGGGTCTGGCAGGGTCCCTCCAAAGGAGAAGGGTAGGGCCTGGGCTAGGGGCTGTGTCCGGGCCTGCATGTGGGCAGCAACTCTGAGGAAGGGTGTGGGAACTGCCGCTGGTGCCTTTTATCAACACTGTTCCCACCCCCACAGGCCTCATGACTACGGGGACAAAGGCCCCAGGGTCTAACACAGGGAAGGTTCTGGGCAGGCGAGTGGGCTGAGTCAGCCCCTGTGCACTGCGATGAAGATGGAGGAGGGGTGGGTTTAGGAGGGGGATCTGGCTGGCCACTCCATCTTTCATCCTCCACAGCCAGGGCAGCTCGGCTACCTTCTTCCAGCCTGAGCCTAGAAACCTCAGGTACCCTCAGTGGTTGGCATTCAGTCAGAATCACCAATGAGGACTCCCTTCCAGCCCCAGAGTGAGTACAGCCAGCTCAGAGCCGGCAAGGCACGGCCCACTCTGCTTTTCCCATCCCTCTGGAAGCAGGAAGACACAGGCAGAGCAGCAGGCGCGTGAAAGGAGGGGCACAGTTTATTACTGAGAGGTTACACCCAGGGCAGCCTTCACTCCTCCTGGAGTGGGCAGGTCACATGCGGGAGTTCCGCTCTTCATCTTCATTCTCAAGTAGATAGGCTGGACGGTAGGTGGGCTGTCCTCCAGGACCCAGGCACTTCAGGGCTGGGTTCCGCACTGTGTTCTCCCGGCTCCCCAGGGACGTGTAGCTGGAGCCAGGAGAGTAGAGGGCGAGTGTGTGGTGGGATGGCTCTCCCTATCTCAGCACCCACACATTCCCCCCACACCCATTCTCTTCCAACACCCTTACCCTTGGTCATACAGGATACAGTATGGGACAAACAGCTGACGCAGAAAGTCCCAGATGTCTCTGTAGGTCCAGTCCTGGGAGGTCAGAGTCAGAGAAGAGTCACAAATACTGCCCTCTCCCACTCTACCCCCTCCTGCCTGGGAAGAGGACCATTCAGGGCTCTTCTGCTCTGAGGCCCTGCTATCTGATTCGCTGGTACATCTTGCTCTGTGTAGGCCAAGCAATGAGAAAGAGAAACCTTCATCCTGTGCCCTCTCCACCCCCAATCCGCCCGCCACTGGCATGTCGGCTCCCAGAGGACAGGGAGGGGCCATGTCTGTGTGAGCCAGGGCTGTCCAGTAGAATTTTCTATGATGATGAAAATGTTCTCTTTCTGTGCTAACAAGGCAGGCACTTGAAGTGTGGCTAGTGCAACTGAAGAACTAAATTTTGAATTGTGTTTAATTTTAAAAATTGAGATATTGAATATAATTCACATGCCATTGAAATTCATCCTTTTAAGAAATACAATTCAGTGGGGTTTTTTAGTCATTTGCATTTCAATTATGATTTGAGTGTAAATAAATGGCTAACGGCTGCCATATTGGATAGCACAGGTCTAAGTCACTGTTCTGTCCATCATAAACAGCACAGTGCCTGCCACTGAATCAGAGCTCAACAAACATTGGTCAAAGGGCTGAATGAACAAATAGTACACCTTCCTTAGATGACGAGGCCCCTACATCCTCGCCTCAGGCTCCAATGTCCTCAGCTCAGAGCGCTGAGGTGCAATGACTGACAGGGGACATGAGACTTAGGGCAGTGAGTGCTATCCTGCAGTACCAGCAGTGGGTTGATGCGCATGAATGAGGGCCAGCCTGGGTCGGTGGGGCTGAAGGGGCAGAGGCTGCGGGAGTAGGGGTCCGTGCGGCGGGTGCCCATCAGGGCGGCCTCCAGCTGGGGGTGCTGTGCCTGCACCTGGCGCAGAGCCTGCTTCATGTCGCCCTCAGCCTCCAGCACCTGCAGATTGTACCTGAGGAAGGGAGAGGGCTGAGGGTAACAAATGGGATCTGCCAAGCCCATCTTGGAGCCCAGGCCACCAGGCCCCCAGTACCTTTTGATAGTGTCCTGTAGAAACCGCTCCAGCTCGGGGAAAGGGGAGATGCCACGGATATATAGGATCTGGAGGGGTTCTTGAGTGTCAGGGTGCTTCCTGGGAGCGGGGAGAAACCACAGGCTTGCCATCATGGGCAGGGAAATGCTCTCCAGAGAGCTCTCGCTGTTCTCCACAGCCCCTGGGATGCACACCTTCTCCTCCTCCCCTTTCCTGTCGTTCCCATCCATCAGAACCTACTTCCTCCGGGAAGCCTGCTCTGATCTTTCACTTCTCAAATCTACAGCACACACCCATTCCAGGTGAGAATCCCCTCCTCCGTAGGACCAGGACCTCCCTGTGGTCCAGGATGGTGGCTTGCATGTCCTCAAGGGCCAGGCATGTGTCAGATGCTCAATAAACATGGTGAGGGGATGGAACCAAGAGGTCACTGTGGCTATCTCCCTCCCCAGAACCCACCCAGATACCCTCTTCCCTCCCTGCTTCCTAAGATGGGGAATGAGACGATGGGGAAGATCAGGTGTCCTGGTACTTCTGGGCTCTTGCTTTCAGGGGATGGGCTCACCTCTGCACAGCTGCGTGGAAGAGGTGCAGGAGGGCAGTGCAGTCCTTGCCCCCATTGAAGCCCACACAGAGCTGGGTGAGGCTGTACTGAGCCAGAGCAGTCTCAATGGTCTGCAGGGCGCCTGCTACCTTTTTCCCCAGAGAAGACCCTGCCGGACAGGTAGCGGAGAGACCATCAGACAGACACATATGGCAGAGGGGTCACAGCACCCTTGTTTAAAACCCTTCAGTATCTTCAAAGTGTTCCCAGGATAAAGTCCAGATTCCTTCATGCTGCCTAGTAGGCCTGCAGAGTCTGCTCCCTGCCTGCCATTCAGCCACACCTCATCTCAGTGCCTCCCGTTCGGGGTCCTGGTTTCCTTCCATTCCCTTAAACCTCCTGTTAATTCCTTCTATACCCTTTCCTGGTGTGGCCAAATCTTCCTTATCACACAGCTTATATGTCACTTGCCCAGAGAAGCCTTCTCTGACTGCAGTCAAAGGCTGATCTCTTGCTGACATCTCACGCATGATTACCTGTTTAGTGCCTACCTTTCCTGTTAAACTACTGGTCCATCAAGTAGGGCATACATCTGCCCTCTTGAGCTATCTCCCCACCCCCTGTCACAGTGCTGGTGAAAGTGGGTACTCAATCAACATTTATTGGAAGAATGAATGAATCAACTTAGCTATCCTCTACCTTCTCCTGGATTTTTGGGAAGCCTCCCCACAGAAAGAAAATAAGAAAGAAAATTGCATCTGCCTGATAATGGGGCACTCTGCTCTCTGGGGGATACCCCCTATTCCCGCATTCCTGAGAACTGTGGTCTGGCGCATCTGCCCCTCTCTCAGGAGGCCCCTACCTGACTTGGAGAGTTTATATACAGCCTCGCTGGCCTGCTCTATGGCATTGGGTGTGTAGGGGACCAGTGATCCTTGAGGCAGACGGGCAGTCAGGTAGGCCACGCATTCTTCCAGGGGCGCTTCTTCCTGTGAGTCCAGCGTCAGCTTCACCTGATAGTAGTTGCTGTTCCAGTCAGGGTAGGAGCCCAGGCCAAGCCTGTGTCCAAAGTGGGCCTGAGCCTCAGCCAGGATGGGGGCAATCGAGGCCTCATCAGCTGCCACATACAGCTCCCGCAAGTAGAACTGAACGGCTGTGTTTTGAAACAGTCCCTTCAGCCCCTCCAGCACCCGCCGCAGCAGCTCTGGAATGCCTGGGAAGAGGTAGACATTGCGGACCGAGACCAGTGGGAATCTGAAGGGGCGGCCGGTGTGAGGATCTGTGCCATAATGCAGGCGGGCGGAGGAGGGCACCAGTGACAACTTCTCCGAGCCCGCCCTTCCTAGGGCTTTGATGGCTGCTTCCAGCTCAGGGTGTGGCTTGAGCTCATCCCCAAAGGCCTGTGCTACTGCCTCAAAGGTCACATCATCATGAGTGGGACCAATGCCCCCTGCTGTGAGGACATGGGTGAAGCGGCTGGAAAAAGAGGTGACCTCAGCAGCAATGGTGGCTACTTCATCAGGTACAACAGAGACTCGGCACACCTGGACCCCAAGGGAGCGCAGTGTCCGGCACAGGAAGTAGGTATTAGTGTCCTGAGTGTGGCCCTGGGAGACATGAGATGGGGAAGATGAGAATGTCAGTGCTGTGGGATGAGGGGCACAGGGGGCAAGGACAGAAGTTGCATCTGCTTGCCCCGACTGGTGTGGCTCAGTGGGTTGGCCATCATACCAAAAACCAGAAGGTCGCTGGTTCGATTCCTGGGGCACGTGCCTGGGCTGGGGGCCAGGTTCCTGGATGGGGGCATGTGAGAGGCAACGATGTTTCTCTCCCTCTCTTTCTCCCTCCCTTCCCCTCTCTCTAAAAGTCGATAAATAAAATCTTTTTAAAAAAGTAAGAAAGAAAGTTGCATCTGCCTGATAATGGGGTCTCTGCTCTCTGGGGAATACCCCCTCAGGCTGCCAAGAATTCTGGATGGAGCACAAGGGTGGGAAGATCCACGTGGAGTCAAGGATGATATATCTCGTGCCTTCATCTCTGCACAGTGACCTTGACCTCATCTATACTTATTAACTCCATTATCAATTCTATGTGGACAACTCCTCCGCTTTCTCACCAACCTGACAGTCTTGGTCCCCTGCCTCCAAGTGCCTATTGGGAATCTTTCCCCCATCCCTGGCTGTCAATGGCATCTGCGGACACTGTCTGTAGCCACTCAGGCCCTTTATGCTGTCAACTCTACTTCTGAAATGTCTCCCCACCTGCTCTCTCCTCTGACTCTACTGCCTCCAAGTAGGTCCTTGGCACCTTTCACCTGGATAGTTGTAACAGCCCCCTGGCCAGGCTCCCAGCCTCCAGCCACAGTGCTCTGCCTGGTGCCTCCTGAATAACCTTCCTAATGTGTCACTGTGATTGCATCACCCTTGGGCTCAAAAGCCATTTGTTGTTTCCAACCGTATACAGAATAAAGTTCAAATTCTTTTGCAGGATATTAGAGGCTGTCTGTCTATGGTGTGTATGCAATCTTCTTTTCCAACCCCATCTCCGCTACTGCTCTGCAGAGTTTAGTGGTTTGAGTGGTGACTCTGGAGTAAGAGAGAATCAGGTTGGGAGTCCATCTTCCACTTCCTAGCTGTGTTACCTTGGACAACTTTCTCAACTTCTCTGGGCCTTAGTCTCGTAATCTATTAATTAAGATTTATAATAAAGTACCAATGCCATGGGGTTGTTGTGAGGATCAGTAAAATCACATATGTAATGTAATGAGACCACTGCCAGGCCTTAGTAAGCACTCAAAATATAGGGGCCACTGTTACAAGTACAAACCTGATATCGACCATGACTTCCGGATCATTCAGAAGGGTTTTCTCCTTTCTAGTACTTTCCTTCTATCTCACTT